CGAACAAAGTTCAAAATAAATCAAAACACAAACTTCTCAAATTTTATGTTTTGCTGATTGGAAAATATATAAGATTAGACAAATCTCAGAAAGTATTCGGTAGAAAGAGAGAAGAAAAAAATAGTTAGATCAAACAGTGACCAAAGGCTCTGTCTTTGAGAATTGAACTCTCTATTTGTCTCTCTGTCTCCAGTTAGTGCTTACATATAAGCATAGCATACAATATACATAAAAATAATAAAATAACAAGAGGGAAATAGAAATTCCAAACCAAACCTTACTGTTTGAACAAAGCAACCAAAGCAAAGGCCTTGAAACCCAGAAACGACCAAGTCTAAAACATCAATCTCAAGCCACCATCATCTTCTTTCTTCAAAAACCAAAAAATAAAAATAAAAATACTAGGGTCTTTTTTCTTTTACTTCAAAAAAAACAAAGAGAAATAAAAGAGACCAAGAATGCGCAATGGCTTATCTTATATGGAAAGTTTTTGGAGCTATAAAATAAGGTAAATTTCAATATTTTTTCGGTGGAAAAAAAGTGGAGTGAATTTACAGCTTTGATACTACATTCTTGTATGGAAAGTAGGTTTGCTGAGATATCCAGATATGGCAAGATATTGCGGAAGACACGGATTCTTTCTTTTTCTTTTTTTTTTTCCCCTTGGTTGACAAGACTCGAGAATGAGAAGACAGAGGAAGGAAGCGAAAATTTGACTATATATGGAGGTTATTTTGGTTATTTAAACGGCCGGATTCAACTTGGGAACGCAGTCTACGCGGCTTTTGGGTTAAGTTCCGGTGCAAGTATGTAATGTTGCAGCCTATCAATCCTGTTGATTTTAAGCATTACGATTAAAAAAACAGTTAATATCTGTCTTCTGATGTTGTCCAACTCGAAATATCGGTCCCACGGTCATACCTATTTTGTTCTTTTTCCTATGCTTTCCCATGGGTCGGCTGCAGATAATGCTTACCCCTCTAGTGGGACTCCACGTGCTGACTGCTGACGCGGAAAATATGTGCTGTGACGTGAACTGCGTTTCTAATGCAAAGAAAACAGGCGTTGTTTTATTTTATTTTATTTTTATTTTAATTACAGCAGTAGTTAATATAGCATGCATTAGAAGAATTTAGGAGTAGCAAACACTGTATTTTCTTTTTAATAATAATTAATGATTTAGTCTATTTTTGGCCATTTTTAATTGCGATTTTAATGATTAACCCACATTAGTTTCATTCTCATTTTTTAAATTGTTTTCAAAACAATTGGTTTTATTAAACACCATATCAAAAATCTTTTAATTGGAGAGTTGGAATTTCTCTAATAATATTGTCACTTTGAAAATTTTGTCCAAATATCAACCAAGAAAGCTGATGTCAACCTAAATTAATATGGTAAATCTGCCTAACAATAAACCGGCCAACTTGGTTATTAGACCTAAATAATTTCTTTATCCTATATCAATTATGCTGTTTGAGTTAGTCAGAGCAGGCATGGCATGCTACATATATGTGCGGTCACATACCAAATTCAACAAATTCGTCATGAATCATGGCACCAGAATTGTTCCCATTATTTCTCTGATTGCAAAAGTGTGTTATTAGGTTCTACTTTTGAAATAGATATGGAGTTTTATTTTATTTATTATGATACATGTAAAATTCAATTTTAATTTAAATGATTTATATAATATTGAAAAGATGATATTTAAATCTCAAACTTTGTGATCTTTTATTTTATTATTAAACTATGATTTTATTTGTAAAGAAAAAAATAATGTGTAGGACCATTTTGCTTGGTATCGTAGCCGGTGAATATAATATGCTGAAAGGATCGAGAAGAGTGAAGGATCGGCATACAGACATGTTGAAACACTACTTTTGTTAGAAAATTGAACGAACTTCAGTGTTGTCTAGTTGTCTTTCTATGTGTCTTTGACGTCGAAATAGATATAAAAATGAGTGCAAAATCGATTTAAGGAACAAGAGCCAGATGTTTAACAAACGTAGAAAGTTCCCTTTAAGATGTTGCCTGCAACGCCGGACAAGATTAAATTTGCGGTTCAATTCCGGACGTGCCAACAATTAATACACAAAGCACATGCGAATTGTACCCAAAAAATCTTTTTAAGGTACACCATTAAAAAAATGAAAAAAAAAAAAAGGTCATTGCTAGTATTGGCATATGGTGAAGCTCTTCCTCCTTCGTTTCTATGACAGAAAATATTGGGTGAAATTGGAATTTGGGTGATCTCTATATCTTCACATTAAATGAGAATACGCAACGTTTTCTCAATCATATGCCCATTTCGATACATTACATAATAATTATTTTTTTTATGTTTAATTTATTTTTAAATTTTTTATTTTACTAAATATTTGATTGAATAAGACGTTACATATTTAAATTTTTTTAAATTCGTAATATTTAAAATATAATTTTAATGATACATTAATTGATTTAAGAATAATTGATAAATAATAATTAGTCTTTAATTATTAGGCATTGGAATTGGACTAACCCTTTATCCGTTGGCGTAGCTTTGCCCTTGTTTGTGCAAGAAAAAAAAGGGTAATTTAAAGGTGAAAACGTTGGCAAAGGAATTGGGGGAAACGACAATCATTCAGGCTACTACGAGGAAGATGAAAACCATAAGATTCAGGCTATTGGGCGGCCCCGTGTGCACCGCGTGGGTCCATCAGCTTTTTCTTCGTTTTTGGTGTTGGCGTGAATGATGGAAACGAAACCCAACCTTTCTTTTACCAGCAGCCTTTCTTCCTTTCTGTCTCAACCTGAATTAACGGAAAGTCGCTTTGGGTAAAGGTGACAATTCAATTCCAAACTTATTATATAACTTCATCACAAGCTTTTTCCATTTTTTTTAACCATTGTTTCGATTTGAATTTTTTTATTTTATTATATATTAATTTTAAAAAATATTATATAAATCAATTAAATTACATACTTAATTCAAATTGTAATGAATATTAAAATCAATTTAAATTGAGTTGAATTTCGTGCTTGCTTGATTGGATCATATTAGTAATTGACTTTTTTTTTTTTTGCTAAACCCTTTGCTTACATCTATAGTCTATACTGTTTTCTCTCATTCTTAAGACAGTAAATGACTATTAATTTCCCCGTTTTACTCCACTTTTGCTTCCTCCTAGTTGACTTTGCTCTCATCTCCCTTTGAAATAGCCCAAACATGTAAAAGCAAATTCTATTATGTATTATTGATTTTTTTTCTCTTTTGTTTTTAATCTGAAAGTCACCTATCGATTAAAATATGATACTCCTACTTTGTCGATTAGAGATGTGAAAACAATCAAAAATAAATTTAAAAAAATGTTGAGTTTGATTTGAATCAATTTTTTTATTTTATTTGAATTGAAGTTTGGATCGAAATATAAAAAATAAATTGAATTATATATTTTTATTAATTTTATATATTTTTTGAATTTTATAAAATAAACATAATTATTTTATATATAAATTTATTTAAATATATTTAAAATTTTATTAAAATAATATATAAAAAATTAAAAATTAATAAACCAAATCAAATCGTTAACATTTAATTTGAAATCTAAATAAAATTCAATTTAAATTCAAATAAAATTTTAAAAATTTATAATATTATATATTATAAAAAAATAAAACGAAATTTAATTTAATCCAAACTATTATTACTCCTACTGCCAATGACCATTTCTCAAGTGTGAACTTTGATGCCCGTGGTTCTGTCTGGAAGAGTAAGAATTTCTAGGCTGGCAATATCAACTTCGACACTGACAAACGCAAATAGAGGCGAGGCAGGCAATCAAGCATTTTGGTGTGAACATCCTAACATATTAGTCAATGAAAATTTAAGTGTGAAACCTCTTTCCATCACATTATATTTTCATAATAATACTCCATGGACTATGGCTTTTGTTCTCTTCATAGATAATTGCTTATTATCGTCCTTTGTGCTGTTGTTTCTTTACAAAAAAAGTTGCTGGTTTACTTGCTTATTTCATCGTTTTCAATCATTACTCAGAGGAGAACTTCAACCCCAATACCTGAAAAGAAAAATGCCGAACGACTTCTCCACCGCATAAATGGTCCATCACTACCATTAAGTGGTTACTCAATTAGGAGGATCATTCTTTCTTATATAAGTGATTTTGAATTCAAGTTTAATTGATAAATTTTTATTAAAATTATTTTGAATATATATCTTATAATTATTATTTTTTATGCTATTTAATATAACATATTTTATTTTAATATGAAAAACAAAACTATCTATCCTTTAATGTCTAACATTAAAAAAAAAAAAAAAGCAGCCCATCACTTAATCACTGAAAATGATGTAAATTGTAAGTTTAGGTCTTTTCTTTGGGCCTATTATGGGAAAGCTTCTTTCAAAGAAAACAATGACTTAAATGTTTGTTTTGACCAATGAAATCGAATTAGCCAACTGAATTATGTCACTTTGAGTTTCACACGCTACTCATGTTGATTTGGGTTCAAATATTTTATGAAGCAAAATATATGGTAGGTTTCAAAATCCCTGGCAAAACCAAATTAAATTTGTGGGATGAACACCGGCAGCTGGCTAGCCATATCATGCCCGGCTTTTTTATTGGAGGATTTCCAATTGTGATGGTCAACTTGAAACAACCACATCCAAACCCAATTGCATGTAAAGTTCATTTTTAATTTTAAATTGACTATAAAATATTTTGCTACATATCTTTTTCTGTAATAATATAAATTAATATTTGGGCATATACAAAAAAAAAAAAAAAATCTTTGGAAAGTTTGAAAATGAAATAAAAATTTTTTTTTTTTAACATTCAGGTTCTCCATTTTGCATTTTATACACATAGAAACATGGGTTTACCTATTTAACTAATATGTCATCAGGCAAAGGAAACTAATAATAATAATAATAATAATAATAATAATAATAATATGATGATAAGAAGACAGTAAATAGGATAATATTTGTTTTTTTTTTTTTGAACCAGCTTATAATTAATCACAATTTTAAGAATACGCAATATGATTAAACATTCAATCAAATTTTCCTAAAAATTATCAGAAAAAATGTACTTCCTCTTGTTTTGTACACTACTGCCAATGATTAGAGGGGGGGTGGGGTGTTGCAAGTTGAGTAATCTATAAAGAGCACATTTATCACCATTAGCCCTGCTGCTTTCCATTTACCTGATTATGTGTATCCACACAACATCTCCACTGTGAACATTTGATGCAGCAGCTGGAACAACCCGACAAGCATTTAGAGCAGTTTGGTTTCCAACAACAGTTTACACAGCTAGGTCTCCAACAACAAGAGCACATAGGCCACCAGCAACATTTACCGCATCTTGGTTTTGGACATTTGGGTTGGCATAATTTAATCTTACAGCACCTGTCACTAGTAACTGAGGAACTAGTATTTGACCTTGTTGGTTGACTGAGACTCTGCCGAATCCTATTAAGGCGAATTTCTGTTGTCAAGCTCTCCATTTCATAAATGAACTTGCAAAGATGGCGTATGTAATCGGGGTAGAGCTCCAAGTTGCAGTGACCACCTCCTTTGATCCACAAAGGCTCATATGGCTCCCTTGCCATTTTCCAGAGTTCATTTCCATGCAGCCAGTTGACAACATCATCTTCTGTACCCTGATTAATATTTGATCCAACCATTTTAAAATTTGATATTGACAGAAATCTATGATGAAAATAAATGACATTAACAAGAATTATTAAACGAGGCTGATGCAGCTTAGACCATATAAGCAAAAACCATGCAGCTAATGTAAAACAGAAGTTCACATATAATCAGTTTTCATAACCTCTGTAGATCAAGACCCTGGTTATAATATAAGCTTACACACTTACTAAAAGCAACTAGCAATAATCTCACTTTAAGCAACATTCTGCTAATTCCTTAATTGCAATATTATATTATTGAGTTACAAAAATAAAATACATTGGGTTCAGAATTTCAAACAAGTATAAGAAGGCAGGCATATCTTGAAAATCTGAGATGAGATCTATAATATTTGACAAATTTGATAGGCACTTACATGTATTACAAGCACAGGGGACTTCACCTTCTGAATTTTATTGATATTCTGCATTTATGAGGACAGTAATTAGCTCAAATATAGCAGCAGAAATAGCATAAACACATCATAGAGCTCAGATTTAGTTCGCAGGCCACTAACTTTGCAATGGTGTCAACAGATAAAGTATCACTATGTCTACAAACTAATATGCCAATTATCAGACTGCTCGTAAAATCAATATGGTATCTTCTTCGCAAGCCAAACCATTATAGATCATTACCTGATAAATGTCGAAGCAGAATGTGAAACTAACATGACAGAGCACACGAAGGCCAGAAAGAATGCCACTATGCAGAACTACACCTCTTAGCCTCGGAAGTTTAGCTGCCAAATGTAATGTTGGCCCACTTCCAACTGACTGTCCATATAAAATTAAGTCTTCCTGGCTAATTCCATACTCAGTCTGAAGACACTGATACACAGCCTCTATATCAGCATAAGTGTTTGATTCACTTGGCTGGAAGTCATAAAATAAAAACATTAGCAAAAACACCACACTCTTTCTAAATAAAATAGATTGAGAAACCAAAACAGAGAATTCGGGTCTAGTTAGATGACAAAGAAGGAACAAGGAGTCTATTGTTTTTTAAGACATCAATCAAGAGAAAATGCCAGTCAATTTTGGTTTGATGTTCCAAGACTTGTTAGGTTTATGCTCAAGCAATCGACTTTTTGGCCTACTATTGGTTACTCACAATACCTTGGATCCTTTCATAACTTCCCAATTGGGTAATTATCATCTGAATCTAGTTACAACACTTTTACAGCGAAAATATGAAATAATAAGAAAAGATCATCTATCAAATAGTGAGGATGACCATCCCTCAAATGACATATCCATGAGCAAATCAGTACACAGCTACAAACTGAAGTCTGAACAAAACACATAATTAGAATTATGTTAGCATAATGACCTACCTTACCAGTAGAAGCTCCATAGCCAGAATAGTCATACCTGCAGTATAGCAGTCATGAGCATGGAAGATCAAAAATCAACCCAATTAATAAAATAATAGGATATGAAAATTAATAGCAAAGTGAAACTATAGCTGAATTCCATGTCATTGAATTAAATAAAAGCAAGTATGATCTATAAATTAGAATGTCATCAACTTGACCAATCAGATGCTAGTTGCAGGATGGACAAGACAAGAATTAGTTAAGTTTGCTTGACAACATCAAACCAAAATCGTAAATGAAATTAATGTCAACAAAAACGCAGTAGGATTAGAGAAAGATAAAGTATGTGTATATGCATTCCCTCAAGATCAGATTGTAGAAAAACTGAAGGTGCAGTGATAAACAATTGTAGATCTCTCAAAAGAAAATGAAGTGATGTAGCACCTTACACAATCCCAGAAGGCACAAAAGTCTTAAGAGTGAAAATCAATTACTTTTTATTTTAATGGCTACAAAGGGAGAAAAAAAACCCTGAGACACATTACCAACCGAATAGGGAACACCTTGAACAAGAGTAATTAGCTAGAAAGAGAAAACTCAAAAGTAAAACATGATCACCAGTAGTACTAATTACAGATCTAAGCATGACAAGATAAGATTTACAATTGTTTACCCAACGCAAGAAAACATGATAAAAGGCAGCCCAGAAAATCACCATGATAAGATAAGATTTACATGCCTGAAAAGTGGAGTGAAAAGAAAATAAAAAAGGTGAAATTTGTAAAAACATTAACTTGGACAAATAGACTAGAAAATTTAACAACATAAGAAAGAAGGGCACTTTTTTTAAAGAAAAAACTAACCCAGAGGAGAGCTCAGAAGAGGCATGAAAAACATTATATTTACAAAATGCAAACAACATTAACAACATACTTACACAAGCAAAACACAAGTAAGTTCAAGTGACCAAAATTTTCAAAACATTTAAAGAAAAAGAATACTGACCCCATAAGATTGACTCTGAGGTTGACCTTGAGCTGGACAAAGAGGTCGTAGAGCTGGCCAAGGTCGGCAGCATTGCCGTGAGAATATAGCACAGTAAGGCGTGCATATGGGCTTTTCAAATAAAAAGCAACAACCTTGTTCCCACGTTTGGTGTCAATCAAATGCACATCCAAAGAAGTGTCATCAGCAACAGTAATAGGCATTGAAGAAGAAGATGAAACCACTGTGAGTTTCCCATTGTCACATTTCTTGATCTGATATGTTGGTGGAGATGGAGGAAAGAAAGCAAATTTTGCAGCCAACTGAGAAAATATACACCCCATTCACCCCCCAAGAAGAAGAGCTAAGACAACCCCAACTCATTGAAAAAGGAACAAGCTTGAGTGCATGACAGGAAAAAAAGTGTGTTTCTTTCAGTACTGTTTTGACAAGGAAATACTGAAGGAAAAACTCTTAACAATCAAGTGGATTTTAATGAGGCGTCTTTATTTACGGTGCAGAAGTAGTGACAGGTAGAGAGCTAAGATAAACAAAGGTTATATTTTTTAGATAAAGCTTCTGCTTTGCCTAGCTAGATTTGTGTAAAATCATTCAGTTTTTTTTAATTATTAATGGGGTTTAGATTCCGCAAAGATGCATTGAGTTCAAAGAGAGAGAGAAGGAGAGAGATCAGACGTTTTGGCTGAAGTAAAGTGTCTGAGTTGGCAATTGAAGTAAAGAAAAAGAGGTTTGCTTTGTTTTGGCTTAAAAGCCTTCAAAAATTGAAAAACGGAGCTGTGAATCTGATAATATGTGCATGACTTCATTGAGGATCAGGACACAGTCGAACAGTACAGGGGACTGAGGGAAGGGTCGGTCAATACTCAATCTCTCCGTCTTTGCTATACCATATTTCTGCTACAAGACAAGTTTTTGTTTTGTCTTTTTTATGATTCCCTTTTTTCCCACTCTCCTGCGGGTATCAAACTCAGATACTCGCTATTCTCTGCTTTTGAGTTTTTAATTTTTCTTTTTGGCACTTGAGTTTTTTATTTAGCCACACCTCATATTTGCATTTCTTTTCTGTTCCTTCCATCTTTAACAAGATTAATCTCGAAGGTTACTATAAAATTTGAGGCTTGATATTATTAGAGCATGATAGGCTAAGAAAGAAATTTAATTTGGGAATTTGATACCATTCAAAGAATGGTAATATAATATCATAAATTTAGAAATCCATAAATTAAAAGGAAAAAGAAAATAGCACATTGAATTATATTATTCAAAGAATTTGAATATTAATATCATCCAATCAAAATGAATTTTTAGATATCAAACTAATTTATTCATTAATAATTGATGATTTATTATATATAAAAAAAAGAATTGAATCTAATAATAATTTTTCAATACGTAAAACATGTTTTTATTCATTAAAATAATTTCACTTAAATACACCAAGCTATACCAACATTAAAAGAATGACAAATTAATAAGGGAAAAATTTTAAAAAAAGATAAAAAAACTTAAGAGAAGTTCCACCTTCGCATAAATTAAAATTTTATATGAACCAATAGCTTAAAAAATCTAAAGTACCCCACTAAATATAAGTCATAAATTAATCCCAAAAAAATTAGTTAAATTCTTAAATATCTCAATTAAAGTTAATTTAGCAACCCCAAATTATATAATCTAATGCATTAAACAACCCCCAAATCATCCTTTATGTCACACATTTGTTATCTTAAAATTATAAAAATTATGATTCAATTTTGTAATGAGTAATTTGGGGGCAACTTTAACATATTGTACATATACGGAGGTATAGAAGCTTTAATTTTGGACCTAATTACATGTTTAATCTCCTTTGCCTTTTATCCTCTCCCAATTAAGCTGCTATATTAAAGAATCCTAACCTTTTCGTAAATAATTGGACTTAATTGTGTAATTTATAAAGTTCAACAGGGACATTGAATAAAATTACGAGTATAGTGGCTTAAATGAAATTTTGAACAAGTTCAATGGCTTGTTTTGCTATTTGCCTAGAAATAAATCAAGTAATATAGTATAACGAGATGATTCATTGTTTTTGGTGATTAAAAAATTAAAAACTCTTAAACATAAATATGATGCTGCTTTTAGTAATAACAGCTGCCTTGATTTCTAAGTCTAATAAACATAATCTTTTTCTTTTTGCTCTTTAATGTATTTAGATTTAAACATAATCATGTAAAGATTGAATTTTGATGCTAATTAAGTCAAAAAATACATGCATTCATGTATTAAAACTTGCGAAAGAGAAACCAATTTTTTTTTCTTTTATTCGCCAAAATAATTGAGGATTAAAACTTAAATTATGCAAATATCATTGGTTATATGACGTTTTTCCAACATCAATGATTTTTTTTTCCAACATTTGATTCAATAAATAATTAATACATACATTTTATGTTTAAATGATAAGATTTTGAAATTTTAAAAAATTATTGATATACAATTAATTTTATTTAATTTTAATGTGAAATACAACAACAAAAATCATAATTAAATGTGTATTTCCTTTGAAATATATGTTTATAGCTACGGCAAATGCCAAGCAACATTAATGATAGTAATAATGAAAGAAATAAATCTTCACATGGAGCTCAGTAAATACAACTATTGAAGAGAGATATTGTTCTGGGTTTTGATTTGACCATCCAAATTGCATTTTATTATTATTTATTAAATTTAATAATTTAAAATATGATATAATAATATGATATAAATATAATATAAATATAAATATAATATGTTTTAAAATTATAATAATTATTATATATATTTAATAAAATAAAAAAATCATGTTTTATATTTTTATATCGAAATAAATTATTATACATAATTTTTATATAAAATATGATATAAATATATATATTTTAATATTTTACAATATATAAATACATAAATAATCAAATTTATTATTTATCACATCTCCAAAAATAAGAAATTACACGTGTAGTTATAAAATTTTGAGATAAATATTATTTTTATACTTTAATTTTAAAGAGTAATTTGTTGATTTTTTATTGAAAAGTGTTATAATGAACTTGTCCTTATGTTATCAAAATCGTCGTTTTTTTTTGCATGAAATATGAACTGACACGTAAACAATGATGACGTGAAATATTTTATTTTATAGTCTTAAATCCTAATTATAAAAACTTTATATTTTATATCCGCTTCTTCTCTTTTTCAAACTCTGTCTTATCAATTATCATTGAACTTCTCGTATCGTCATTCGTTTGCATAAAATAATTATGTCACGGTAATATATATATTTTATTTAAATTATATTATGTAATTATATTAATAAAAAAGTAATTATTAATTATATATTATATGTGATAATTAAATAATAAATATTTATTGTAATAAATAATTATTTTTTAATAATATAATTATATGATATTATTTAAATATAAAAAATTTATATTAAAAAATATAATAACTTCATATAATTTTTTTTAATTATTAAAAATTCATATTTCAAATATTGACGGTTGCTGTCTATCCACCTTTTAGTATTAGTGTCGGCAACTGATATCGAAATTTGATAACAAATTTTCCTATTTTTTATTTTAATTTCATCTTTAATCCACCAATTTAGATTTTCCAAAATAAAAACTTTAAATAGCTCTATACCGAAGCTTAAATTTCGTTTTTTTTTTTTATCTTTCAAAAACCTCATTTTTGCAGCTTCAAATCTCAAATAGAACCCTAAATTCCCTTCATTTCCCTTCTCTAAAACCTTATTTCTTGAATGGAAAAAAGAAAATTTTATGACAAATGTACCAAAAATTGCTGAATTTAATTAATAATACAAAGCTTCGTGATTCCCTATATTAATTAATATTTCGATATGTAGGTGCATTGGACAACAGTTCAAGTACAACTCAATTTTTTCTATCACTCCCACTTAATCAAATGGATTTTTGATACATTTGATAATTTAAAATATAATATGATAATATAATATAAATATAAAATATAAAAATAATATGATTTTATAATTTTATAATAATTATATTTAAATTTACTAAAATTTAAAATATATATTTTATATTTATATGTCAATATAAATTATAACATATAATTTTTATATAAAATATAATATAAATATATAAATTTTAATATTTTATATTATATAAATAAACGTACCGTCAAATTTAATTTTAGTGAAATGAGGATGATGGCATTTAGGATCAATGGCATTGTAATTTTTTTTAATTTTTTAATTTTTATCTTTAAAATTTTAATGTTAATCTAAAAATAACTTACTCTTATTTTTTAATTTATTTTTATTTAATAAATTAATAAATAAATTTTATTATATAATAAATTAATTAATAATTAAATTTTATTTGAATTTTTAATTATTAAAATTTAATAATTTATTAACAAAATTATCATTTAAAATAATTTAATAATTTTATAAACATTAAATCATTTACACTTTTATCACGTGTAATTTTTATTTTAATAATATTTTTAATAATTATTTTTATTCTCATTATAATTTATTTATCATTACAATTATTTTTATATCTAAATATATATAATTATTGATTTCAATCTTATTTTTATAATAATTAATTTTATTTTCATTATTTTTTTAATTTTTAATTTCATCAAAATTAATCTAATTATTCATTTAAATGAACCCTAACTCAATGCATTTATGAAAATTAATTAGTAAATTATAGAATTCGGTTGTAGATTTCCTTGTTATAGAAATTTTTAAATGAGAGTTTCTTGATTCAGTTCAAAATAAAACGAAATAAACAACTTTTTTGCAGTCCTATCATGTTGATCTTAAAATTGTATGTATCCTATTGCTTCCCGATAATAAAAAAGGACGGTGCTCACAAATGGTCTAAATCAAACAAAATTGGGACCCAAAATTAAGGCCACCCTGCGATAAATGATGATGTGTCGTCTCATGTTTGATATTCTCAACAGCTCGTCCACCTGAAATTAAGCAGCAGTTATTAATTTGTCTTGGCATTCAGTGCATTGGTGGGTACATTTTAGTTACATTAAAATGATATATTTAAAAATAATTTTTATATTAAATTTAATATTATATAATATTAATTGTTTTTTGTTGATTTTGATTGGATTCATTAAATTTCAATAGATTAATTTATTTTGATTTATACGTAGATGTGGAATATTTTTTATAATTTATAATTTATTTTTATTATTGATTATTGTTAATATAATAAAAATAAAAATAATTGATAAATTAATTTTTAAAAATTAATTTTTTTTAAAACTTTATTTTTTTCTATTCAAAATTCATAAATATTTCATTATCTTTCAATAATTAATCATGCTCTTTCTCTAAAGTTTAACAATTATAAAACTAAAATTAAAATTTTTATCTTAATATTTAATACTCATTTAAATATTATATGATGAAATTAAGTGTTTAAAAATATCATAATAGATTAATGATATTATTTTTTATACTTCTAAGCTTATTTATTTGGTTTTTAAAAATATAATATATTTATTTGATAAATTATTAATAGTATTATTATGTATAAATTCATGTATATTTATAAATATATTTATATTAAATCATAAAATTTAAAATAATGTATTAAAATAATTGATACTAATATATATATTTTTTAAAAAATCGGAACATTATCCAACGAAGGATTAACAACCATAGGAACACTTGTTTCCCGGTGGAGGTGAAGATCGGGGTGGCGCGTGGGCATCACAACCCACTTGTTCAGGCGACATTTGTATCTTTGGGGGGGTTTCAATTCCAACCTTTATTTCTCATTTGACTTCGTAAATCAAGTCAAAAGGGATCCCAATGAGCTTATCCGATGGTGATGCCTCACCCACTACAGCATTTTGTGCATCTGACGGGTCTCGTGACCCCACTTCCCACCAGTCTCCAGCCGCCACGTGCTCAATAGGTCAAATTCTACCCTGCAATAATATTTGGCAGGGAATTTTCCAATATCTTTAGTAGCCACTAGCTAGGGTCTACTCTTTTCTCTTGCATTCTTACCCTTTTTCCCAAATTAAACCGTTATTTATCAAGCATTTTAATCGGAAAGTTCAATCAAGTATGACAAGAAAAATGATGAAATTGGAGAATAACAACAGAAAGATTGTGCCATTGATTTATTTTAATTTTAATTATTTCAATTACCAAAAGAAAATTACAATGGAGTTAGATTTTACATGTGGCTTTGGGTGTGAATCAAAATGGAGGATAATCATAATTATGTTAGAAGAAAATAGATAAAAGGAGGAGGTGGTGGAGGACACAATCAGTTCAAAAAGGACATAATAATTGGTTGAAAGAGTAATAAGAATCAAGCCTGCCTAAAAAGATTTTATTCTCATGCTTTTCCTTGGAAAAGTACAAAACATGAGAAATCAACAATTTTCAGAAAAAACTATCATTCTGCATTTTTTGGCAACATTGAAGAAAAATCACAGACACCTATCATAAATTAGGTTTAATTTCCAAGAATCTGGCACATTGGCAGAGCACTAAAGCCTCACCCTTCACCACAAAAACCTCGTGGAACCAACATTAATCAAATAACAGTAGGTACATAAAGAAAGGCATGCCCTTGTATTTATGGTTGTTGTAACCCAAATTTATATATATATAAAAAAAAAAAAAAAACATAAAAGAAGTGAAAGGAAAGGCATTCTCGTGCTTTGTCTTGAGTTTAGTTTAACAAATGGGAAGATGCAGTGGGGATTGTGCTTGTGATCTTCCCCTTTGCCCTTTGCACAACAAACAATTAAAAATCAAATACAAGTAAATATGGGAGGCAGAGAAGCAAAACTAGAGATGTAAAAGCTTTGCTACTTGTCAGTATTGTAGACTATATTTGACGAACAATTCTAGATTTTTCATTCAGCACGTGAGGTGCACTTAATAACTTATATAAAATAACACTACTATTGTAATGACTTACATAAAATAATACTACTACTGTTCTGTACTGCTTATATCGTCCAAAACCAAACATCTAAGTATACATGTCAGTTCTCTGTGTTTGACAATGTCACTTTCCTTTTCTTTTTTTTTATAATTAAATATATTTTTACACGTCATTCTCTTGTGCTATCTTATTAATAAGGAATGACATGAGTCGTATGTCATACTTACCAATGAAATGCAGACATAACAAAGACGAATGAGAATGCAAAGCAACAAAAATATATAAAAGCATACATAGAGGCAATGGTATAAATAGCAATGAAACTAACCATTTCACTAAAATACACAACAGTTACAGAAACAAGGCATCCCTTCTCTTCATGAAATAGAAAACAATTAAATTACGCTCAATTACGGACTTCAAAGAAAGGTAATCATATTCAGACTTCAAATAACAAGTATAAGAGCCAATTTATTGATAATAAAATTAAGATTCCAATTAGAGAGAATCTGCTCTAAAGGTTGCCTTATTACTGCGTTGCGTTTTTTTGATTTACTAGGCATACATGTTTGATTCTTGAGCACTGTTCCTATATATTTTCCGGGCATATTGGTTATTTGTGTCATCTTCATTAAAAGAGAATAAATAATTATGGGACCTTTAACTCAAAAATATGATGTTATACATCGAATTTGAATCGATCATATACACGTAAGAATTGACTGTTGACTACGGGCGAGTCTTTGTAGAAAATAAGATCTGTACAGCACAAACCTGAAGCAGTACTTTTGGGATAGCTTCAATTTCTGATGGATTCGGCTCCAATAAAAGGCAATCTACCGTTGATGTCATTGATAGGCATCAAGAAAAAAATAGGGTTCTTCTTGCAGAGCATTCGTTTATGTACGAATCTGATGGCTTTCTTGTTATGAGTCAGAAATTTATGCAATGAAAAGACTTGACCTGCAGCAAATCAAACCAAGTTGAATAAAATATAATATTGGGAGGTTCTCATTCTAACACTGCAGAATGCATTGGTTGTACACTTAATACACCAAAAAATTATGCATGTACGTACAACGCAATGTTGAGACCCATAATAAGGTTTTGACTAGTTCCATGGCTGCGACAAAAAGACACCTGCAGTTGATGCCTCTAACCCTTGTTTGCCATGTACAGCAGATTTGAGGACATCGTATTGCTCGGTCACAGATTTATACAGAGCTTGCGTATATACATCCTTAGCCTGTCCAAAAGGAAAGCCAAATCATACTAAAGCAATCAACAAGCACACATAGATGTGACAAAGTTCTTTAGAAAGTAATCATCTAGAGTTCTAGGCATAGCAATGAAGGGAAATTTTACTAAAACCAACAAAGACCTCTACTGATGAGACTTTATGAGCCAGGTTTCAGTGTCTTGGCTAATTTTATGCAAATTGTTATGGCTCACATCCCCATGGAAACACTTAGTATGGCTAAACATAATTATGCATGTGTATTTGTGGTATAGTCATTTCGTCAATATGAAGTTACGATGTTACAGTCTATCTGCATGCCTGGTTGATCATCTTTAACATAGATGATAAAGCTCGTGTCAGCACTGATCAAATGCTGTATCATACAACAGCCAAGACACACTATTTTTCTCATTTTAGAGAACTGGATTGACTTTTCAAATACCATATAGTGGTCAAGTATCAGAAACCATATGTATAATAGCATAAACCAACCTCTTCAGACTTTTCACAAGAAGCGGCAATTTCTGGGAGGCTGATTTTTTGCGCTATTGATAATCCAGCTCCATGAAATGTGATGATTCTTTTTTCTCCAATTTCTTTTTCTACCTGAAAAAAATGCCATTAAGTCACGAGAAAATTTTAAAATGACCGAAACTGACAAGCAAAGACACACCTGGGGTGGAGGGGGCATGATGTCATAGCACAATAGAGCCAAGGGATATATATGCCCTGCTGCACCTGAATGTTCTATGAGCCTTCTCATATTGTCCACTGAAGAAGAATCAAAAGGTGCCTGACTCCCTTAAATTAGTATGAATGAACACAAGCTTATCACAAAAAGAGTAGAACAAGATTCTGTGATTCTATCTTCTACTCAAGCTGTAACATTTGGTTTCAAATCCAAATGGATAATGCAAAGGCTCATTGTCATGATTGCCTCTTCCAGAGAATTTTTCTCATAGAGTAATATGTTCTGGATTGGGCTTGATATGCCCATGAAAACAGCTTTTATGCATTTCTAACTTTACACCTAACAGTTCTTTATTACAAGATGAAATAGATACAAGACAAACTAAAGAAATTCTTTAAAAAAAAAAAAAGTTAAAGGCTCAAAATCTTACTGGATACCATTCTTCTGTAAAGGGATCTGGGCGGTCCCTGCCACCACTTGGTGCAATCCATACTATTTTTGAGCCACCCCTATAATAAAACAAAATTTTTGGTCTAAGGTTGCACATTTATAGTGAAACACCACAATGAAGATTCAAGCATGTTAACACAAGTTATCATCCTAAAAGTATGACAATGTCCATTAAGGTACCTTAGCAGCAAAGCCATCTCTTTCAGACTTCTTGTGTTCACTCTTCTTTTCATCTCAGCAAGCTCAGGAACATCAAACATGTGCTTTTTGGAGTGCACGCATAAAAGATTCCTAAAATGAACTAGTAAAACTTTTTTAGTAAGTGACTCTTTAGCATATTTTGGAAAATCAGTTCAGAATGGGTAGTAACTATTTTAGTACCTTCCCATGCTAAAAGGCTTGCAAAGAGGATCAGCTATGACTCTATCCCCTGCAACATAGATCTTCAGCATAGAACATAAATTATGATTAAGCAGATGGATAATGGCTATTACGGCAGTCTCAGAATGGAAAATTAATTTAAGGGGGAATCACCATGTTCTCAGCGACATGTGGATTTGTTTTCTCAAGCAATAATGCAATGATGTGTGGGTCAGCTTCAGTTTGATGGTTTGATATAAGTACAACATTGTGACCCTGCAATCAATTGTCTAACAATTATATCTATAAAAGCCAGCTAAATGTAAAAGATATAGTCAACACTACATACTTCCCAAGTCCTAGTTGCATGTAAAAAACTACTGAATGTTGAAACTTAGTATGACCACTTTTAGTTTATGCCAACATAAAATTGCAAGTTAAACACCATAAAAGTTCCTTGTGATCACTAAGATATAAGTTCAGCTTTGCTTAAATAATAAAAATATAAAATTACCATAACCTAAAATTGATGAAAATTAAGAAATTAAAAGAAAATGGAAACAAATTTAAACACACAAAAACCTGTTATCTGTATTTGTTTCTTGGATACATGTTCTTATTAGTTATTAAACAAAGAACATAAGTACTCTAGTAGTCAAAGTGAAAATTTTCATCAACTTACTACCAAGCAGCTCTATCACGAATAAATCAAGTTATGATCTTTAACAGTATGTCTTTTCAAATGAAAAACATGACAAGAACATTGTGCCACATTATTGTGAATAGATGATTCAGTAAAACTCAATCATGTTCAGAGGAATCCCAGGAAAGGGGAGAAAAACAACTCAGCATTGGCACCTGCTTTAGCTTCTCTTCTATCTCATAGAAAAGAGAAAGATTGCCAACATATGAATTTCTGCAACAAATATAATAAATAGATGTTAAGAGAAGTAATGAAACTGTATATATGCTACAAGCAAAATAAAATGTTGCTGGGAACGGGAAAGAGAGTGAAACATACAAATACATGCAGCTCTTTCTCTGCATTATTGTCAATACAGTTGATGAGAAACAATCAAACATGAAGAACAGAAAGACTACTTAAGACCCTATGAATATTAAGAGCTTTTCATCCACCAACAGACAATCCTTTGCGTTTTTGACAATTTCTAAATGTAATATTACTTCTTTTTAATAGAATAATCACTTGCTGATCAAGAAACCTTCATGGAATTTATGAAAGAACCACCAAACAGAATGCAAAAAATAAGAAACATAGAACAAGCTTAAACTTAGATGGTCTCAAAAGGTAGGTAATAATTAAGCATTAATCATAATCCTTATTGCATTCATTGATGTCCTAACAACTAACCATAAAATCTAGTACCTTGGTTTACTTAATAGAGTTATGAAATTGAAAAACGACAAATTCCTTCACCAAAGCACATCTTGAATTTTCAGGGGAGCTTTCTGCAAACTAAATTGATATACGAAACCAGAATAGGAGAACAGGGTGGAATTTGTCCCCTCACCTGAAATTAATCAAAGGCCGAAAATAATTTTGACCAAACATGTAGTAGTCAAATGGCTCTCGCAAAGCTCGGTGATAGGTTTCAAAGACAAAAGGATCCTGAAAAATTACTGTCTATTTCACACAGAAGTTTGTAAAAACTATAATCTGTATGCAATACCTTAAAATGGAAGTTCATATATGTTACAAATTGCAGAATCAGCTTAAAAGAGCATTTTAGTACGATTACCCGCAAATCCAAAAGCATACGGTCAAATGCAACAGCCATGTTTGACAACACAATCCCAACAGCTGCAGGATCTCCACTTTGGAAAACCTAAATATTGCACATGCAAAAGATTTTCTATTTAAATTTTCAGAGGTACAGGTACAAGGTAAACACTGAGTGATAAGGTTTACCCAAATATTGCAATCTTTAGGTGATAAACTATTAAAACCATCCAGTTCAAACCAAAATACTCTTCCACCAAATTTTAAATACAGATACAACTTTTTTTTAAAAAAATCCAGGGCTAAACTGACCTAAAAAGAGACCAAGAAATTTTTTAACAAAAAAGACAAACTAGAATTTCAAGAGAAGTTATATCACCTTATTTAGCATTATGAAGTTTACACACCTGGTTCTCATAACACATAGTGTATCTTAAGCCAAGTATAAATCGTGCATTGACTGTACAACTACAAAGATTTAAAAACATATGATGGTAGACCTGCTAAACTATGAGCTTATTAAAGACACAAAACCCTGATAGTACTTTCTAGAATAAAAAAGAGAGGAAGCTTGATGCAGAGACCTAAACCAACATATTCTACGCAGAGGAGAACCTATCATATCTAGAACATACATTAATGCGCACTAAGTAAGAGTTAAAGTATAATAGTTTACTGCATTTCTATAATTCTGATACAATTCTTCCATTCCTGCTGCGACATTTGGAGGTAGCCTTCCTGCTTCTACTTCCTTCCTAATTCCAGAGAGGAGTTCTGTAGACAAATAAGTAGCATGAGAGAATAAAAACAGTACTCTAGTTGAATTTTGGAACTACAAATGGCTGTAGTTGAAAGTAAACAACAGGATATATTCAAAGTGAGGAAATGTTTTCTTTTATTTTCTGGATCCCTTTTTATGCTCCTCAAAAAACCGAGTCCATTTTTCTTTTTCAGAACCATCAAAACGTTATTCATTATATTCCAATACATAGGAGACAAATCTCCAAGTTTTCTTTTACTGAAGTCTTAAAAATCTAATGAGTTTCCTCATTCTTGATCAACCTAAGTTGGCTAAATGCTAAATGAGCTGTTATAATACTTGAACATGTTCTTGATCAATAACAGAGTCCAGCAAACTTTATTTCTACAGCATCTTATTCCTAACATCCATTCATATTCTTAAATAAACATTTGTTTTAACCCAAGCTTCTTTGAAAACCACAAAAAAGATTTAGCATTAAGCCTTCATTAACTAATAAAACGACATTTTCTTAAAAGGCTATTTTTATGATGTAAGCAATTTAGTATTTGTTCTTTCATTTTCTATCTCAACAAAAAAAGGCAGTTGACTGACATATAAAAACATAACAAAATTGTCCAATAGCAATTCTTTATGCTCGCAGTTTTTATAAATAATTCCCTTTCCTCACAAGGAAAGGAAAAGAAGAAGAAGAAGAAAAAGTTATAATATTTATTTATAATACCTGTTTCTTTTCTTCGGAAATAAACAAGGGAAAAAAAAAGCATCATATAGTAATATTTAAAATATTTTATTTGTTTAAATAAATAAACATAAAAAAATATCTTTTTAAAAATGAAAAAGAAAAAAGAGGTAAAGGAAAGCGAACCTTGCTCGGAGCGAGCTTCAAGGAAGGTACGGGAATGCTCAACCTCCGGCCTCACGCCTCCACCACTACCGGTGGCAGCGGCACCGGATTCCTTATCTTGAACGAGCTCAGCCATTGCCTTAGCTTTCAAGGAGTAAAACACGCAAGAGAAACTCCTGGTTGTTGTTCTGGAAGTAGATCGAAAGCGGTCGAATCGCTGAAACGGAACCAAAGAAGAAGAAAACGAAGAAGGAAAAGAAGAAGATTTGATCGAGAAGGAAAACGTAGACCTTGTGGAAGTGCCGGTGAAGAATGGGAGATGAAAGCTAGACATTAGAGACTAGTCTTTGAAACAATGAGCGAAAGAAATATGAGTAAAAGAAGGAAAAGAGAATAGAAATGTAGACTTCCATTTTTCTTTTTTTTTTGGATGGCGTTGGACGGGTGAGTTGGAGGAAGCACGTGATTTACATCGCCCGAGAGCGGACGAATAGGGTAATAGATGCAGATTGATGACGTGTATGGTTATGGATTGGGGAGGATATCGGCAAGTGTGGCATCCAACGGTTTTCCTTTTTTCTTTTATTCTCTTATTTTTTTATATTATTTGAGACTTCTTTTTTTAATTTTCGAAAAAGGTTTCTGGGCAGATCCTCAGAGGCTGGGACCATTTTTGTCAGGTTGCCTATGGGCTGACCAATGAAAAGCCCTTTCATCTCAGTCGGATCGGTGCATTTTGTTCTTCTATTGTGACTACTGACCACTTTCTTTTCCTTTTGTTTTTTTTCCTCTTTTAGCACTCAGTGAAGGGATCAATTAGTATAATTTTTCCACTCCCAACAATGAAATACAATGTTTTTTATATGAACTTTCAAAATTAAATCCACAATTAATTTAAATCAAAATAATATTTTTAATTTTAACTATTTTGATTAAAAACTAAAAAATGTAAAACTAAACTAAGAATGAAAAAGGTTATAATATATATATATATATATATATTCTCCTTTTATAAGAGAAAATATAAGATTATATAAATACTAGCATTTATTTTTCAACCATCTAGATTATTGTACATATGAGATGTATGATAAATTTTTACATTTATGGCATGATCTTGACCGATCAAAGCGTATGATAGGCAAGTGCAAATAAAAATAATAGAAATGGGATTTGACAATAGAAACTAACTACCATATTTTTTTCTCCTTTTTTTTTTTTTGTTTTTTGTTTTTAAGTGACAGATGATTAAAGCTTGGATGTTCCTTGGGGACAATAGAAAAAGCTCAAACAACATCAATGAGAAATACGAATCAAGAAGACAAGGAGATACAATAAATCAAGCATTGACTATCAAATAGTAGGATTACAAATTTATGATGTTTCAATAATTTCAATATAGACCAAACTTTTATCATGCAATTCCCATTGAACTAACTATTATCCAAAACATAGGCAACTGCTTCCCCCTAAAATTCTTCATTTAGATTAATGACATTTTAGGCATTTTCAAGGGATTTTAAGAAATACGATTAGCAGATGACCATTGTTATATCAGCTTATCAGCTGAGTTCAAACATATAAAGAAAGATAACCGAGGAAAGTAATCAGAACAAGTAAATTGACATAATGTCTTTTGTTCTGTCCAAGTAATTTCGAAACTCTTTAGCCAAAGATAAAACATCAAATTACTACTACAATTCCGGATTAAATATGCTGCATGGATAAGCTCATAATGTCGGTCTAAGATTTTCATTTCATGCAATAACTATGAATCACTGCCAGAAACGGAGAAAACAGCAGTCCGGCAAACCTGGATGCACCATTTATCCAAGGAAATTCATGATCACTAAATGGAGCACTAAGTTGCAAAGAACAAAATCTGCAAAAGCTCGCTCAGGTGGTAGATCCTGCAATTGATATGAGCATTATCAAGTTAAGGATTTAACAGGAAGAGGATATTCACTCCTATATATACCCATTACCCAATGCCCACCTCTCCCTTAGGGCAATAAAGGGTTTAATAACTTAAAGGGAGAAAACATGTTATTTTCGGGGGTTTAAAGCAGTTCAAAAGCATTGGTTTAAGTTAATCCATGAAAGAAAGATTTGAACTCCTCAAATCATTTGAATTTAGAAGGATAATAAGATCGTTCCATTTTGTATTTCTTTCCCCTGCCTCGTAAGAGTAATGTATAAGACAGAAAACATGAAAGCTTACCTTGAAATCCTTGTTTTCTTTGTTCACTTGAATACGAAGACAAACTGAATCCAATGCAACCAACTCGTTGTCAGAATAGTTCTTTTACCTAGCAAAGAGTTATGATAGAAATTTCACTTACCAGCAAGGACTGCTGTTCCAACACAAGAAAGCACTCCAGAAAGAAATGAGTTGAAAGGAAATGATCCCACAATAGCCATGTACACCACCTATGGATCCTCAATGGAAACCAAGATTTAAGAAGGCACAAGCTTTCCAACGTATATACAACTAAATTAAATATAAAGGAATAGAAGTATAGAAATACTCAAACAAAAATGGGGTTGCAACAATGGGTGGAGGAAGAAATATAAAGAGTAGCAAAGCAAAATCAAAAGATACATGACCTTAATCCAACAATTAAATAGGGAGCAATCTATTTACATCTATTCTAATCTTGCTCTCATGGAATTTCAAAATATTTAGTTGTTTGCCCTTAAACTCATTAATTTGATTCAATGTCTACCTGAATTTTCTAATGAAAACTTCAGAATTTCTAATTTGTCATTACAATTCATCTATTTTTAAGTGCACCTTGAGGAAAACTTCTATAATGGATGAAAAATAGTGAGAAAGCAAAGATTTAGAAAACCCAGAGGAACAAAAATCAATATTTTTCAGTCACTAAATATCAAGCAATATACAAAACGGATTTCTGAAGATGAACGGAAGTACCTGAATCAGAGCGGTGAAGACTGCGAAACCCACATATAGATCAATGATCTGTAAATAGAAAACCCCAATAAAAGTTTAAGATTTGGAACAAATAATTGAGAGTTGAAAGGGGAAGGAAGAAGGAGAGAGACCTTGAGATTAACAGGAGTGGCAGCGTAAGCCGATCGAAGCGAATGGAATAGGGCTTGAGCGTCCTCCTTGCTCGATGGTGTTCTCCCCATTTTTGCCCTAATTTCAATTGCCTCAGATTCACCAACTGCTAAAGCTAAACTGGTAAACACTTCCGAGTCGTCCCTCTTATAACAACAAACAATGAAACAACATACATCGCTCAACAGTGATTGGACCTCAAGATTCAATCTCCATCGTTCATTCTAATTTTAAATACTATTAATTTCTAAAAAGTAATAAATAAAATTCATTCTAAGTTTAAATACTATTAATTTGTAAAAAGTAAAAAATAAAAATAAAATAAATAAAATAATTTTGAATTTAATTAGCTAAGCGAAGGTTATATAGTAGCATTATGTACAAACAGTATATATAAGCAGTTATTTTTATTTTTTTATAATAATGATGTTTAAGTAAGGGGATTTAAACTTTAAAATTTAAATACAGAATCCAAACCATAAAGAAAAAACATGCTGATGAAGTATGAAAACTAGAATAAATTGACAAAACTGATGGCATGATGATTTAGTCACAGCTTTGAATACAATTAGATCACAGCAACACTATAGCAGTGAAGTCTCTATAGCAAAATCCTAACAGCCGACGCTATAGCCTGGAGCTCTGTTTCTCCAACTTTCTTCCAAAGTCCATCCATCAAAAGATGGCCACAGGTGCCTGGTGAAGAAACGTCTTCGCCACCCGATTCACCCGCTTCCTTTACTTTCTTAGGGCTTGAGAAATCCATCAACTGCATCTCATCACTAGCTTTTCTCTTGCCACTACAAGAGTTGAGTTCCCAGTTCTTCCCTTCCACTACTTCTGTATCCTTTTGGCAGTCATTATCACGGTCAAGCACTGGAATACGACCAGACGACCCAAGAGCACGAGGCAGCATACCAAGAGGACATGGGTTCCATGATTTTGCCACAACCCATCTGTTTGAGTTTCTAACACCATCTGCTGTTTTTACAAACGTGCTCTTCATTTTGCCAAGTTTAAACAGTTCTAGCTTCTTAGCTGCTTGATTGATGAATTCCTCTTCTTGACTAACAATTTTTGAGATCTCAAGTGAAGAATTTTCTTCAATTATCTCTGTACTTGACAAACCTAATGAACGAAGTTTGTTGATTTTCTCGATCAAAACACTGTTTCCAACAAGCTGCGCAAGATGAAGGGCTGAATCCATGAGATGGTTGTTACTAAAAGACGACACCAGGAGACATTTACGCAGGAGCTCCATTAGAATTACATCTGACATGCTTTTTCCTGCAGAACCTTTGGTTTCATGAGGCTCTAATTCCAGAAGATGTCTGACCAGCCATGCAAACAAAGATGAAAGATTTTCTACTTGGCAAGCCTCCTCTCTACCCTCAGATGAAGTCAGATGACCATCTAAACAAGAATCAGAAAAAGAAAATGTGAGAGACAGAGAGAGGGTAAATACAGGTCGAGGCAAAAATCTTTCACTATGCTAGTAGACAGCATGCAAAGATATAGGCAAAATGAAAAGGGACGTACAACTGAGTCAATAATTACATATTTACCCGTTTCATATTTTGATGCATCCTTTTTCCCAATCGTATCAAGAATCCTCTGAAGAAGGGCAAGAAGCAATTCTGGTTCCTTATTTGAAAATTTTGTTATCACAGACTGCCAATCATCCCATGAAGCATGTTTGTCTTGGCCTGCTTGAGAATCTTTTGCAAGTTCCACCAAGCTTGAAGAATCTAAAGCCTTCAGCAAGAATTCCATTAACACAGATACTACTTCTGAGGATGAAGTAGAATATAAGCTTACAAGACTTTTCAAGGTTTTGCTAATTTGTTTCTTAGGACCTGAAAAAATAGACACCTATCAGAAAATGTATAATTCTATTATAGACACAAAATGATTTGTACATTTTCCACAACAAGATCTCAAGCCATTCCAGTCAGATCATACACACAATGAAAACCTATAAATTCTGCACAGAATATACACCACTTAGTTTCCTTTTATCAATGGAACATTCATATAAAATGTAACAGTAAATATCCCAAGATGTTCAAAGGCGAGGTAAACCTATAATGGACCCAGAGATACAATATCATTTTCATAAAAAACATGTACCGTTCATCTCCTACATTTTGAGCTAAGCAAAGAAAGAGGAGGAAAATGAAGAAAATGAAGCCAACAGGGACAAAGAATTTATGGCTGCAGTTTTAAATATATTTACCTAAACCGACTTCACTACTTTAAAGCTTTTGGAAATTTTGAAAACTCAACTAAGGGTGCAAATATATAAACTTCTCTTTGGCCTATAATACTAAAAGATAATAAACTGTTTCATGTAAAAGCAAAAGGTTTTCTAATAATTGATAACTCCTGTACAAGTAACTTTCTTGGGGGAAGACAATTCCTATATTCTTTCATTTGAAATAAATGAAGCAACACGTTCTAAACAGAACAATTGAAGATTAGCATAATAAGATGATTTGGTTCTAATGCTACACAATACACTTCTTCTGTCCGTATGCACCTAACAATAACTAATCATGCAGGATAGCTTACCTCCAGATTGGGATGATTGGACCTTGCCTGCCATACGTGAGAAAAATTTGCTACGGCCACAAAGGTGTTTGAACTGTCTGCCACCTGTAAGAAATAAATGATATCAACTATGCCATTTCAGATGAACAGACACTAAACGTTAGAAAGGAAAAGATTACGAAATGACCAGGTAAAGTGGCCAACATATAGCATCGGAGCCAAGCTATTTCTGATGTAGGACAGAAAAACTCTAATGTTACATTATATTAGTTACGGGGAAAAATCATATTTTCAGCATCAAAATATTGGTACAATCAAAAAGAGAAAGAAGAGACAAAAGCTCTAACGTTAGCATTTCCTCAACTACTGAAGAGAAGGGAAAACTTCAAAAGCACCTTTTCCTCTTACAAGCAAAGATCCAATTTCAGGATTCTGCTTAATTTTTATGCAGAAAGCCAACTCACGGAGTTTGGATTTGATTTCTCTTCTAATATTAATAGCTTCATCTATTTGAAATGGAATTTGCTTCTTCTGAGGTTCCCAATAATAGGATTTCAGCCAATTAAGTGCCTGAAATTATTAAGAATCATAAAACAAGTCATAAACTTAATTAAAAAAAAAAAAAAACCACATTGTCAGATAATGTTGATGATGAGAATAAGAAAAAATTAAGAGCCCACCACAACTGAGGAATCCCGAACAATTGCGAGGGCAGGGAGGTCACGGTGAGAACCCTCTGCAATAAAACCAACGTCATGAAACATGGAAATCAGAGTCATTTTTCTTGTTGTAGCTGAGTGACTCAAAGAAGATAACCTTTGAACCACAAACTCTATACGAATTATTAGAGCTGCTTACCATGACGGACATCAATCAGTCTACGTGGAATACCAATTGCATCAGCTGCATCAGCAATTGAAATCCCAGTTCTCTTACGTGTCTTCTCAATTACACAGTTAACAAGCCTTCAAAGATTAACATCAAAAACATATCAAGCATTCCCTTTGACCCAAATTACCAAAAAAAAATACGGAAAAAGTAAAGAAATTTACCTCAAGATTGCCATGCAATACAACATAGCTAGTATTTGTTCTGAATGTAAATCATCTTTGGATCTGTCGCTTCTACAATTAGAAACAAAATATAACTCTCTTCGCAAAATTAAAAAAAAAAAAAGAAAAATGTAATGGTTACCGGAAGAAAGGATCGGTCAGCTGAATTTCAATGATTGAAGCAGTGACATCAATCACAACCGGTAAACAACCTCTGCTCCGCCACGTCGATATCTAAAATTGGAAACTTTATGAGAAACCCTCAAAAAAAGGAATGAAAAACATGCAGATAAAGGAAAGACTGTTATACTCTTGAGAGAGCAGAGGAAATCTTATGTGGAGAAGACGAGAAGAGAGATTTTCTAACTGATTCCCATTCGGCCCAGTTTATCCAAGGCACCAATTTGTAGCCGTTGGATGACGTTGATGATGATGAAAACTCTTGATTATAAGCGGCAATCGTTTCTTCTTCGAACCCTAACCGCGGTTCCATTGGGCGGAGACTTAGAAGAAAGAAGACGAAAGCGGGAAAGAGAGAGATTAGCCGATCGACAAAGTGCAAGGGGTTTCGTTTTTAAACCCTTCACGATCGAACGGCCACTAATGAACCTCATTACCATCCTAAACTACATCTAAGCCCTTGAAAAAAAAAAAAAAAACCCTCAATGAACCTCTATTTTCATGCCACGTCACATTTGTATATGTTACTCATCGGCCCATTTTGGTTGCCAGCGGCTATATATTTCTCAGATATTTTCGTTATTTCTTTTTCCTCACTCCTTGTGCGGCAAGATGACGTCGTTTCGGGCCTTACTTGCTATTACAGCTCCTCTCTATTCTTTCAACACCGCCTCCTTACCAACTCGCCGCCCCAACTCACTTCCTCAAAACCGGTCCTTTCTCCTTCACACATATATTTACTTTCCTCGTCAATATTATAATAATAATAATAAAATGTAAATTTATGTGTAGCTTTTTTTTCCCAATTTTTTAATATCTTTTAAGTCTGAATTTTCTTGCTTTTGAAAATTTTAGGATAGATATTACTATGTTATAGAAATTTGATAGATTTGTTTTGGCTTATTTTGTTGGTAATTTGGGTATTTAGGAAAATTGATAATTTTTGTTCACTTGCTCAGCCTTTGATGTTATTTGGAAGTCAATATTAACATAGAGACGTTTTTTTTTTTCGCTGTTTTCAATGTGATTGAAGATTGTGCAAGTTTGGTGTGAGATGTAGCTATGCAGAAGCAGGAATCGAAGATGACTCAAGTTCAGCTACAATAGATGTTGTAGCTGATATCAAGAACGAAAGGGTATATGTGGACGGGACTTATCGATAAACTATTCATGTTTTGGATGTTAAATAAGTAGAGATTACTCACCAACATGTTTTTAGTAGGTTGTTGTCTTAGGAGGAAGTGGTTTTGTTGGTTCTGCGATATGCAAGGCTGCTGTATCCAAAGGCATAGAAGTTATAAGCCTAAGCAGGTCTGAAAATCTATAACTGGTTTGACTTGCTTATGTTGTCGTGAGTGATTGAGAGGTTGAAATTATTGCATGCTTGAAGTATTTGTGATAATTTGTTTGAAATCTTAAGCTTTGATTGTTTCATCAGGTCAGGGCGTCCGACCTACCCAGGTTTATGGGTGGATCAGGTTAATTGGATACCAGGCATGTTTTGTTCTCCCTTGAATAGTTCAAGATTGAGGCACTCTTTTGCTTGTAGACTTGGTATTATGTAGTTGCCATAATGTTGAATGTTAGGGGTCCTGAATTTGCTTTTGAAAATTTTCCTCCTTTGGTATGGATTCCTCCTTTGGTATGGATAGCTAATATAGCAAGGATGGCATGATTGCTGATAACCAGTTAAGCTCGTTCTGTTTTAGAAGTTCAAGAAGTAACATCTCTAGAAATGTTTCATCTTTCAACTTAAAAGAAAGGGCTAACTGTCTCACCATAGTTGTTGCACGGGTTTTGCATTTGTCCTATTACCCTTTGAGTAGACTATTGCTGCACCATCAGACCTTAGATTTTGGTTTATGTAAAATCTTTCTTTGCTGTTCAGTTCATCTTAGCCTTAGTTCACTTATCCTCATTTGCCTGTGAATGCAATTTAACAATTTATCTTGTTGTTACATAGGCGATGTTTTCTATGCAAACTGGGATGAAGTACTTGTTGGGGCTACAGCTGTGGTTTCAACTCTTGGCGGTTTTGGCAGTGAGGAACAAATGAAAAGAATTAATGGCGAGGCTAATGTCGTAGCTGTAAATGCTGCTAAGGATTTTGGTAAGGATTGCCTATGATCAAGTTATAGCCAATTAAATCCTTGAGTTAAATTCTTGCTTTAGGATTTTGGTAGGGAATATATCCTATGTTCTTTTTTTCCTTGCAGGGATTCCAAAGTTTATCTTAATTTCAGTGCATGATTACAACCTACCATCCTTTTTACTGTCATCTGGATACTTCACTGGAAAGAGGAAAGCAGAATCAGAAGTTCTATCCAAATATCCAAACTCTGGTAATTTGTAATGACTTACCTTATTGGTTCTTGCTCACATTTTGGAAGAATTTTTAGATGCCTGTCTAATGATAGAGATTTCTTGCAAGGCGCTGTCATTTATGTCAAAAGTCTCTTCAGGATGAACAAGCAATTTTAAAAATGTCAATGCACCCAACCAATTTGAAACTAGCCTTAAGACCACAAAGGAAAGGGAGTAGCATCTAAGTGAGAACTCCTGAAGAAGAGTTATCATCAATGCCTCATCAACGTTATATGTATTCTCTTCTTTCAGAACTCATACAGACACGCAAATCAGTACTTGGTAGCATCATATGTCATTAATATGGACATGCACATCATTTATCCAATGCTTTTACTTAGATGGCCTCCTTTTCGAACTTTAACCCTTTCTACCATTCCTATTTTAACATCAAAACTCTTTCTTTTTGTGTTTTTTCCTGTACTAATCCTTATCTACTAAGTGTCTTGACTGTTTTTTGACTTTGGACTTCAGGTGTTGTCCTAAGACCAGGTTTCATATATGGAAAGAGGAGAGTGGATGGTTTTGAGATTCCACTTGATCTGGTTGGGGAACCGTTGGAGAGAATTCTTAATGCTACAGAGAACTTTATCAAGCCTCTAAGTTCTCTTCCGGCATCTGATCTGCTCTTGGCTCCACCTGTTAGTGTAGATGATGTTGCATATGCAGTCATAAATGCAGTAAAAGACGACGATTTCTTCGGCGTTTTCACAATTGAACAAATCAAGGAAGCTGCAGCAAAAGTGAAAGTTTGAATCACTTCTCCATGTCTGTGATAATCTATACACTTTCAAACACCCGCCATGACATGCTTTGATCCATTCAAATTGACTAATTACAAAGTTGAGCTGTTGTAAAATTCTTCAAAAATTTACTCATATAAATAATACTCAGGCAGAAATCATCTACCATGGAGCTGTAGTCCTTATCTTTTACAAAAGACATTGCAAATCATTGTGTGATGCGCCTTTCACTACGTGCTTGTTGTGAAGGCAACATTAAATCAACAAAATGCCTATAATTTGCCTGGGTTAAAGCATCTTTAACCGTTTTTTATCATGCAAAATAACAAAAATAACAGGCCAATGGAGCGAGAACGAAATTAAAAAAAAATAAAAGGGGAAAATTGCTTTAACCCCAAACACCCTCAAGTAACAAAAAGAAGGAATTGAACACGAAGAAGTTTACTTTCCAGCATGCAACCAAACATTATATCACTGTAAAAATATCTAGATTTCACAATCATGACAGCAAGAGCTGAAATGAGATATAAAGCAAGAGGGGATTGAGTGACTTGTCACTTTAAGCAATGTTGAACTATTACCCTATGGTCTATAGAACTTGCAATACACCAAATTCTTCAAAAACTACATATCCAAGCTAATTAATATCAACAAAACTTGTAAAAGCTCTCTTCCACATTGCAGAAGAATGTCTATCACTGCCTTTTCCTAGCAATACTCTGCTCCATAAGGTACCTGCATCTCAATGTCAAACTTCCACGATTAGAGAGTTCAATATAACTTCATTATTTGATAAGAGTTTTACAGATGTTATTCACAGAGTTCAATATAACTTCATTATTTGATAAGAGTTTTACAGATGTTATTCACCATAATCATTAGAAAAAGAAATAAATTGTCGTTTCTGACAATTGAGAGAAGAGGGCAAAATGGAATTCATACTTTCCCGTGTAGAAGCCTGCAGAATACCATGCATTTAAAAGGACAGTGAGATCAGTTTCACAGCTAGTAGTTTGACTCATTTCCCCTTCGCCATCTTTCTTCTCCTTATTCTCTGCATTCAATGCAAATATAAATCTATCAGAAATTGAACAAGGAAATTATAAGTGTGCTAAACAAAAATTTCAAGAGTTTGATCATCAAATTGGGATATATTTATAGGCCTAACATTTTTAGTTTTAATAATGATATATTTACAGAATAAAATAGGCTCACTAGGTAAAATAAAAGCCTAGTAACTCTTCAGGACACTAGGGAAAAGCCACACTTACCTTCATTTATATTAGGATTAATAGAAGCTTTTGCTGTCATAGAGGATATTGCTTTTTCTGCAGCTCCCATAGCTGTTTTAACAATGTCAGAGTCTATTACCATTGGTAAGTTTCCGTGAGCCATTGCACCATTTGGTTCAGTGCTAGTATTATTAACACATGTCCCAACCAAAGAACAGCAAGGATATGATGTACATGGAGTCACCACAGATTGATACATATATGGGCAACACGAACACATGACAGTGGAGTGTGAAGCTTGACTTGTAGGAATCAGATTCTGATATTCCTGAGAAGCACAGGAGGTACCCCATTGTCCAGCTGCGCTAGAACCCTCAGCAGAACATTGGTAATTCCAGCTACCAAATTGCTGAAGATGCTGCAGGATCTTTTGTCTCTTGTCTTCAACCTCATAATATTGGCTGAGTAATTGGTTATAGTCTTGTCCACCTTGCAAATATGAATAGCCTTTATTTCCATCTTGATTATCCGGCATAGGCAGACTAGTTGATGAATCTATATAAGGTTCAGGTATCTGTAAATGTACAGTATGATTTTCTTTAACCAGCTGAAGATCCTTTGCCTCATCCGTTTCTGTTCCAGTATTTGATGTAGCATTGCTGTTCTCTTCTTCATCCCCATGTCTTCATGAAGAGAAGTGTGTAAAAATGTAATGAGTCTCAGGTCAACAGGCAACAATGAAACAAGGAAACTTAAATAACATTAAAGAAGCGGAAAGAAAATGCAGGTGAGAAGATATTCCCCTCAAATAACAAATCATGCAATTCACAAATAACAATCATCAAAATTTAACTTTATATTAACACTTCATTTCATTCAATAATAGTTTCTGAGAGTTACTCAAAAAAGGTATTTCTGAAAATAACATATTATTTGTTTAAAACCAGGAAAAAAAAAAAGGCTTACTTTACAGCCTCATCAGCAGTTTGATCAACACCAACAGAGACATTGGTCTCACTGTTTTTCATGCCATGCATCCTCTGAAGAACAAGTACAAACAACATTAAAACAAAATCCAATTACACACTTAAAAAAGTTTGATTGCTGCGACAAACTGAGAAAACCCAGATAAAATAAAACGTTAAGAAGAGAGAGGGAAACCTTGTATTTGGACATGGCGTTGTCGAAGGCGTCGATAAGGGCGGAGTCGTCCCATAGCTCACCTTCTTTGCCCATGTTTTCTGTTCTTTTATATTTTGCTTTCGAAGGTTTCTCCGGTTTTGATCTTTGTATCGGTTTTTAGATTTAGAACCAGTGGAAGCACAAGGACTAAAACCCTTCCCAAATCCTTCATTTTTGTTGGGCCAAAGCCTCCTTTGTCCTTCTCTTCTACAGTCATAAAAAAAAAAAAAAACATATAGTATTTAATCATTTGCATCATAATTTTAGATTTTTTTTGTTTACAAAATTCATATATTTTTAAAAGAATTAGGCTTTCAGATAAGTTAAATGATTTTGTTCTTTTTAATTTATGTGATTAGAGATATTATAAAATGCTTATATTCAAATTCAAACCATTTAGTATTTAATTTTTAAACAAATTCAAATTCATTTTCAAATGAAGTTGTTTATAAAAAATAAAAAAAAGAAAAAGATATCATAAGAAGAAAACAATAATAATAAATAAATAATATATCGAAATAAACGAAGCATAGCCCAAGTCGGTGTTGTTAAACAAGGTGAAGCAAAGCCCAAGTTCCGGAGGGCTCGTGGTTGGTTAGTATTCCAATCTCAAGCAGGATAGTTGGACCCAGAATTAGCCCAATAAAGCAATTTCAAATTTAGGCCCAAATGCGGGTTCCGCAAGTTAATGGTTAGTGGTTCCCTCCATGCGAGCCAATTCAACCGAAGGTTCGGCCATTCCCATTACAAATGGCAAGTGCTAAGTACGAACCATACAGAACGAAGAGCTGAAGACCAAAAGCTCGAGGTCAAGCAGAGAAAAGAAAGCGCCTTTGCGTTTTTTAACAGTTGCTTTTACATAGAAAGTCGCAGCTGGAGCCTCAGTTTTTCGCTTTGAGAAAGAACGATAGCCAATGACTCCCAATTAATAGTCTAAATGCACATCAGATCGCAATCATTCAGCGCCCCCACCACAAAACTTTTGTGTCTTGTTGCTTCGAAAGTTCCAACCAGTCCCTCTCCCTTCTAATCTATATATTTAGTAAAAGAATTTCAAGTTTAAAACTCTAATCTCAAATATTGCGGTTCGGAATCAAAGTTTGTGTGAAATATGAAGGGGTTTCTTCGAAAAACAAGAAATAAAAATAAAAATAAAAATCTTGCCCCACCCCTTCATAAAATCAAAAATGCATATTGACTTGCATGAATAAATTTTTGACTTACTGGTTTTATACATAATAAATTTGATAATTTAAAATATAAATATATAAATGTAATATTAATTAAAATTTTTGTAAAAATTATATATAAATTAAATAAAATTAAAAAATATATTTTATATTTTTATGTTAATATAAATTATGATATATAATTTTTATATAAAATATAATATAAATATATAAATTTTAATATTTTATATAATATAAATATATAAATAATTAAATCTAAATTATAAAATAAATTTAAATTTAATTATACTTTTGATACGATGCAATTAAGTTAAAAAAACTTTTAACAAAATTCAAATGCTAAAAATAGTAAGATGAGCTTTATCAAACACGATATAAAATTTTTACTAAACTTAAAAAATTCAATAAAATTTTTTTAATTATATTTATAATAATTTATTATTATTTTTTTAATCTTATCCAATTAATATCATCGTTCAGATCTTTAGTGATAGCCGGCGAAAAAAATGCTGTCCTTGGATTCTTTGCGCTTGAAGTCCAAGTCATCTACTTGCGCAACAAGTTGTTGAACTTAAAATATTATTGTCCAAGTCCAGTAATATTTAGTACTGTTTGTGCGCAATAAAGAAAATATAGTATTCCTTATTCTAGACCACTGGAAACCAGCGGACAGGTGAAATATCAATCATTTTCTTTTTTAACTTTTTCCCGTGCTTTCCTTAAGGATCGATTCACGGGAGATGCACAACAGCTGCAACCATACTGAAAAAGCATTTTCTTTAATGGGATTTGACGTCCACTTTACGATTGAGTACTCTCACGACCCTTTGCTTTGTAATTCTCATCGCCAGTCGTTTCAAATAAAAGTTAGACTGTGATAATTGTTTGTTAAATACTAAAAAAATTCTTAAGCTATTATATTCTTTTTAAATAATTTTTTATATTTGGCCTTTTTATTTATATCTCATAATTAAAAAAAAAAAAAAGTTCAAAACATTGCACATCGGCCATAGGAGACAATATCGAAATGTGGTTCATTTGTTTATGGATTGGGGTTTCAGCATTAGCATGAAAGCTCGGCCATTTTTCGACTCGATTTGGATTTTGAGACAAGCCCAATTGCTTCAAAATTATTTTTTAAAATATGATTCAAAATAATAGTAGAATATTAATTTTTTTATTTAAGTTTTTCGATATACTTATAATAAATATCGGAGCCTATGATTAGGGATGTAAATGACACATTAGTACTCGTAAGTTATTCGAGTTCGATTCGAAGAAAACTCGAATTCGGTTCGATTATTATCGAGTCGAGCTCGAGCTCGAGTAGCTCGACTTATCGATCGAACCGAATTCGAGTATTCTTAAATCCGACTCGAGTAGCTCGCGAGCCTAATCGAGCTTTTATATTTAAATATATTTTTATTATTTTAATTAATAAAATATTTCGAGTCCGAGTTCGAGTTCGAGCATGAATAATCGAACTCTTATCGAGTATATGAATCGAGCTTATTTTTATATATTAATCGAGCTTAATCGAGCGAGCTCGAATAGCTTGAATTCGATCACGAATCGAGCTCGAGCTTGAAAAATAAAACTCGATCGAGCTCGAGTCAAGTATCGAGCCCCGAATTGTGAGTCGAGCTCGAGCTCGAGCTTCTCACTATTCGACTCGACTCGACTCGATTACACCCCTACCTATGATTGGTCTTGGATAATTCTTTAAAGTTAAAAAAAAAAGTTAATTATTAGTTTTAAGCTATTTTCATCTTAAGGTGCAAAGCTTATCATTATAAATTGTTATAAGTAAGTGTCATAACGTCTAGATCCGGGGATCTATCGCTAGACATTGACTTTTAGGAGTCGCCACAAATCTTTTTTATCTAGGTGCGATTGGTCACCTAAGGAATCTGTCCTTTCAGGGGACACCTAAGTTTAAGGGTCCCTAAAAGAATAGGTTCAGGTCTGCTAACCAGAAGAGAGTTCGGGAGTTCGGTTACGTGTGAGGAAGGTTATAGCACCCTCACAACGCCCATCAAAAGATGGTACCAGCTTAAATTTGTGTTATCCAAAAGCCTTAAAATTTTATCAAGTAATTAATTATTGAAAATTATTCTCAATTGACTCTAATACTTTTAGCAAAAAATTGAGAAAATTCCCTCACCTCAAGAGTATGCAAGAAGAACTATTGTTTCACTTGCAGAGGCTCCGTCGTCGGATTAATTAAGAAAAAATAAAATCAAAATCAAAATAGAAAGGAAGGAAATGATGATTGTTCTTGTGTAGGAAAAATTGATACTTTCAAATTTTTCCCAAAAATATTTTTTTGAAATTTATTTTTTTAGGAAAATTGATACTTTCAACTTTTTCCTAAAAATATTTTTTTGAAAATTTATTTTTAAGAAAAATTGATACTTTCAACTTTTCTCCAAAAATATTTTTTTTTGAAACTTTGATTTTCAAGGAAAATTGATACTTTCAACTCTTCCTCAAAATTTTTTTTTTAATTTATTTTTAAGGAAAATTGATACTTTCAACTTTTTCCTAAAAATATTTTTCGAAAATTTTGATTTTCAAAAAAAATTGATACTTTCAACTTTTCCCCAAAAATATTTTTTAAAAATTTATTTTTAAGGAAAATTGATACTTTCAACTTTTCCTCAAAAATCCTTTTTTTTGAAAATTTATTTTTAAGAAAAATTGATACTTTCAACTTTTTCCTAAAAATATTTTTCAAAAATTTTGATTTTCAAAGAAAATTGATACTTTCAACTTTTCCCCAAAAATATTTTTTTGATTTTTATTTAAAGAAAATAGAACAAAATAAAAGTGAAAATAAATAAAGATAAAAAAATAAAGAAAAGTAAAACAAAAATAAAAATAAGATAAAGATAAAAAAATATTAAATAAATTTAATATAATAAAAAATATAAATAAATAAATAAAATAAATAAATAAAAAAATTCCAAAAAAAAAATGGAGCGGCTCGACTATCGGCTCGGCTTGGCTCAAGGAAGAGAAACGGCTCGGGGGGCGGCTTGGGAAGCTTGACTCGGCTCGACTTGGCTAGGAAGGGGGCAGGCACGAGCGGGTCAGGAAGTGGGTCGACACTCGGGTCGGGTCGGGTCTCGGTAAAACGTGCGGATCCTCGGGGTCACTTAAGGCTAAAACGACGTCGTTTTGAAGGGTATATAAGGTCCTTCCCTTTGTTTTTGGTAGAAAGTTCCTCCCCTCTCTCTCTCTTCTTTCATTTTTCTCTCCCTTCTCTCTAAAAGGCTGAAGAACTCCGATAAAATTTTCATCGAATTCTAGAAAATGTCATCGAAATCTGGAAAATTTCACCGAAAGTAGGTCGAAAGATCACCGATTTCTGGGATTCTTCATCGAAAACTTCAAGTTGGCCGAAATTTTTATCGAAAAATTCAAACTTCATCGAAAAATTCAACCGAAATCTGAAATTTTTCAGAAATTCCCAAAAAAAAATCACCAAAAATCTTCAAAAAAATTTCTGCTAGCTCTCAGAACACTCCTAAACCTTTTCTTAACTTCCTATACGCCTCTTTTTCTCTCGAATCAGTAGCTTTGCTCACTATTTTGTCCGTTCAGCATCTGTTCCAAGAGGTCCCTTTTATAGGGATTGATCAGGAGTTCCTGATCAATCCCAATTCCTCCTTGAACGGGGATTCAATCTTTAAGTCCAATCTGGACTCTTCTGATTGAATTCCCATTCACAATGGGATTCTTCAACTTTCAATCACAGCCATCAAAAAAAGAAAACAAAATAATAATAATAATAATATAATAATCAGATAAACAAAAATCATATAAACGGAACAAGAAAAGAGAAAAAAAAATTATTAACAGATAATTAGAAATACAATAAGATAAATCCAAAAAAATATTACAAGAAAAAAAAATAATAAATAAATTATAATATAATAATAAATATATAACTATATAAATAAAATACATATAAATATTAACAAAAATAAATAAATAAAGATA